AGTGTACAATAAAAAGCTTAATAGAATTGATCCTAATGAGGCACATTTGCTGAGGTGTTGGAAAGGGCTGCTTGTCATAGTTGCATAATCGTTGGGGGTAAATATGGAAGTTCATCAATCAGAAAGGCTACAGTGAGGAGTTGGCTGGCAACAGGCCCAGCTCTGTGTAGCTGTCATCTAGCCTGTAGGCCAATTTGCCCTCTATAAATAACAGTCTATATGAATGCTTTACTATTTTAACGCACATTCACCGCAGCTGCTGAGCATGTTTGTTTACGTAGCTACGAACCCTTCTGTAAACATCACTGTCTCAAAATCGCCCATATGTCAGGAACATAAAGGGCCCCCTTTAAAAATATATTTGTGGGATGAGACACGGCCAGTTCCCAGATGTCTGGGTGGCTGGTGTCAGAATTTTCCAGGGTTTGATTCATTTTCAAAAATAGAATCACATGACTGGAAGGTTCTTGAGAGGTCAGTGTCCACATACCCTGATTCTGGGACGGACAAGACCGAAGCCATCCACCAAGGATGTGGGTCTGTCTTTTGTGGGTGACAGCCTATCTTTTCTAAGGTCAGAGAACTCACTGAGTGAAGGACTGGACTGGGTCCAGGATCTGCAGGGCATCACAGGTGGGCAAGACGCATGTCCTGCCTTCCAGGATCTTACTTTCATTTCTTTAAAAATGAGCCTGACTCTGAGTGATGTGACAAGGCAGGCTGCTTCAGTACAGCTGGCGTTAGAAGATTATGTGTCAACGGAGAACCAGGTGGCCTGTGCTGAACCCGAGACCCAGGAGACTGAAGGACTCTGGCAGTCAGCTTACTACAGGATAGCTCAGATCTCCAGAAAATACCTTATCAGGATCACTGTGTGCCCACAACATGCGTCATGCGAAGAGGGCACTGCATCAAGGTTGCAGCGTGGGACTCACCCTTGCAAGATGCCCGCTAACTGAGATCACTGATAATAGTTTAAAGTCAACTAAGACACGTTTGAAAGAAGGCATGTGTCAGCTTGCTGTTTTCATGGCTCCAGATTTCCCATCTAGCCCTGCAATGAATAATTAGATCCTTGTGAATTTGTTTTCCTCAGTGTGCATTCGGTCCACATTCATTTTTTTCCTGTGGCTTTGACTCACTGAAGCATTTCTCCCTCACTAAGGGCCTGTTTAATGCCCATAAATACCAATTATGCTTTGCGTTCACATAGAAAAAGTATCCCTCTGAAGAGATCAGACGTGCTGGAAGTGCTGAATTGTACAAATCCCATCAGGAAAGGATCAAGACATGTCCCGCTTCCAGACAAACCGAGAACTTTCTAGAACACTCTTCCCTCCACTTTCCAGAAGTTAGAAAACTATTTTTTAAAGAAAATTCATAGTGGTTTTCTTTTCCCAGGAACACGGGTAAGTGGTTCGGTTTTTCTTTTTGGTGACACCTGCCCGTTTTTCTCTAAGAAAGCAGTAGAAAGGCTGCTGGGTGCTCGGGGGGCAAGTATCACTGCTAATTGCCAAGAAAATAATGTTCCTCTCTTTGGAAAGGCTCACTCATTACAAGCTGTCA